AATAGGGTGTTTTGGTGGACTTCAGATTTATACAGTGGCTACTTGTGGGGTCATTTCAGGTGCTGTGTCATGGTAGTAACTGCTGTAGTGAAATATTTGTAATATGAAGTGATATTTAAAAACTGATTTTTTTTTTTTTTGGACAAAATATTTTTTTTAGGTTTCTAAGATCATTAGAAAGTGTGGTCCTCATTATGTAGCAATTCTGACAGGTGACCCCCACAATCAAGAAACAAGTTTGATCCCCACAATGACTATAAACTGGTGTTTAGTGTGTGAGTTCAGTCCCCACAATGACCAAAAACTGGTTGTGTTCGCCGGACCCCAGATATACACAATACCTGAAATGTCCCCACAAGTGACCACTGTGTCAGGTTTATAACTTTTGTAGAGAAATATTTGTAATCTGAAGTGATACTTTTAAACAGGCTTTTTAGTTTTTGTCAAATGATTTTTTTTAGGTCTCTAGGGTCATAGGAAAGGGTGGTCCCCACTATGTAGCAATTCTGACAGGTGGCCCCCACAATGCATAAAAACGAGTATGTGTGTGTGTGTGTGTGTCTGTCTGTCTGTCTGTCTTGTTATTGCTACATTAAATATCCTTGTCGTCATCCTGCCTGCCTCCACACACCTGGACCATGACAGAATAACCGACCCAAAAGCACAGTATAGTGGCATCTTTTCCCTCGTTTGTTTTTGTCAGTTTTTATTTCTTTTTTTATGGATTACCCCGCCTGTCCCATGGCCCGGCCAGCCAGCTTTGCGGGTGAGGCAGCCTTTGGCAGCGGGTTCTTGCTGCAATGTTCCCGCTACCTGGAGATGCAACCACACCTGTTTGTGACTGAGTGGGCCAAAGTGTCATTCATTATCTCGTTGCTGTCTGGACGAGCCTTGCAGTGGGCCGAAGCCTTGTGGACTGCACAGAGCCCGGGGATTCACTCGCTGGAGGATTTTGTGAGACACTTCCGGGAGGTATTCGGCCAGTCGACTATGGAGGGTATTCGGTGCCAAAATGAGGAGGAGAGACCTCGGGATCCCCAGTCCCTCATCGGCTCTCCGTCCCCGCCTCGGGCTCCTCCTCCCCCTGCTCCGCCGCCATTGGTCGGCCCCCTGGAGTCAGTGGACATTCCTCCTCCATGGCTCCTCCCTCCGTCAGCTCCACCGTGGGCCGCTATTATAGCTGTGCCAGGGTCCCACCTGGCTCCTACTGCTCCAGTTCCCTCCTGTCGTCTCCCTGGCTCCTGCCTCCATCGTCACTTCCCTGGACTCTGTTAGCCGTCCTCCTCCTTTGACTGACTTATTGCTACATTAAATATCCTCGTCATCCTGCCTGCCTCCACACACCTGGACCGTGACAACATCATTCATAACCCATCTGTGTCATTAATGTTAACCAACAAAAGATGTTAAGTAAACCTACTGTATCTCTATCGTATTTGTCTTATTGTGCTTTTTCAAAAATTATATATATACATGCACTATAACTTATTTTTATAAGTTGCTCCATTTTCACTACTGTTAAAAGGATAGTTCACCCAAAAATGAAAATTGTCATAATTTATTCAAGTTTTTCCAAATGCAATCCTTGATTCAAATTTATCATAATTAATTTGGTCTAAAGAGAAGAATTAATGATTATTTTTGTTTGAAGACTACATATAAAATAGCTACCAAAATAAATGTTGGTAACTGCAGTTTGGCTAAAAGTAATGACTAAAAGTAGACAAAAATGCAATGACTTTTCGTTGACTAAAACTATGAAAGACTCAAATGACTAAAATGTGACTTAAGACTATTAAGCATTTTCGTCTCAAGATAAAGACTAAGACTAAATAAAAAATGCCTGTTAAAATTAACACTGTCTACAAGTCATGATCGGCCTCTTTATATTGTAATGAATTCAGCCACCACTAGGGGTCACTGATGAACTCTGTTTTAATCATTCTCGGGGACTTAAAGCAAATCTCTCCCGTGAACTGCCAAAATATAGACAGCACATCACATGTCCCACCAGAGACAGTAATATATTAGATAACTGTTACACCACAATAAAGAATGCATATCACTCTGTTCCACGAGCAGCTTTGGGGCTCTCTGATCACTGTTTAGTTCATCTCATATCGACCTACAGGCAGAAACTTAAATCAGCTAAACCATTAAGGACTGTAAAAAGATGGACTAATGAAGCAGAGCAGGATTTAAAAGCTTGTTTTGACCTCACTGATTGGAGTGTTTTTGAAGCTGATGCCACCGATCTGGACGAGCTCACAGAGACTGTATCTTATATACACATCTTATATCAGTATCTGTGAAGACATGTGCATTCCTACCAGGACTCATTTAATCTACAACAACGACAAACCATGGTTCACTGCAAAACTCAGACAGCTCCGTCAGGCCAAAGAAGATGCTCATTGGAAGGGGAACAATGTCTTGATTAAACAGGCTAAATACACACTGTAAAAGGAGATCAGAGTGGCAAAGAACAAATTCCTCGTATGTGTAAACATACCTGGCAATAAAGCTCATTCTGATTCTGATTCCTTATGGCGGATTAACACCTATGCTGCCTCCACCTTTAATTCTAACCCGGTCTGGTCCGGGAGGAGCACTCAAAACACACTCAAGAGCAGGGATTACAAAAGAATACACTTTTTATTAACAACAGCAGCCGTTTGGCATTGTCCTACTTAAATATCCTGATTACATACAGTGGTCATGTTATTTCATTAAACCGTGAACACACATTTAAAAGAGAACCCGAATACTCATTCCAAATTCACAGCAACCAATAAAAATCTCATGCAAAACACACTTAATTAGAAACTCCAAGCATAAATCACATGCCCTATGTATAATAACCAGCACAGGCAATCAACATACAATTCGGGAGGACAATAATCACCAAGGATTGGGCACCACAACAATACACATAAATCTTATAGAATTTAAATTATTTCGGACTTCCCTGACCAGGTCCAACGACAACCTGCCGTCACTGTGAGGACTCAACCTTCCCCTCCGTGGCAATGATAGAAAGGTCTCCTTCCAACAGCCTGCCCGATCCACCTCCACTCCCCCCACTATCTACCTCCGGGCCAATAAGTGGGACCCCGGTTTTCTTCACGCCGGTGGTGCTAGCCAACCACGAACGCTACGGATCCCCTTTTTTTGTGAACCCAGCAGGCTTAAAAATGCAGCGTATCAGTCTCTTTCACAGTTAATTATCAGACAACAGAGCGTGCTCACCTTTCCCCTTCCACCCCCTTTTAAAAGTATCCAAGAATTGTTCATTGTCCACAGGTGTGCTCGAAGACATCACTCCTTCCGTATTTGTCCGTAGCACGTACCGTCAATCGAATCATAATCATTACAATATGTTAAACAGATTATAATTTACGCTTTTATTCACATATACATTGGTCAAATTACATACAGCTCATAATTAACTAAAATGTGAGTGCGTCACACTCGAGAGCAAATTTATATTCCATAATATTTTATTCCTGTATTTTCCTACATATTACCTGTAGGTGACTTGAAAAACACACATAAACCATATATTGTTGCAGTCGTGAGTTTATCGTGTTTACGTTTTTGTTTTTTATTCAACTTATAAGATAGGCTACTTCTATCCGGTTTGGACTTTCAGTGCGAGAGCGCCTTCCAGTTTTAAGTATGAATGAAACACACACTGCATGAGAGTTTAGCGCTTTAATGTTCACATTGTTTTGGATACGAATAAAACGTCATGCATAGACTATCTTGTCTCTTTGAATTTAAATATACAGTATATTTATTCACTCTAGTCCCTGAAAACATCTACATGGACAGAAATGATGATAGATCTTTATTTGTTGTCCAAAAATGAATAAAAGCCTTATGGGTTTGAACTGACACGAGGGTGAGTAAATTATTTTTCAGGATTTTCAGTAAATTATACATTTGAGTTTCCGTCTCCTTTCATATTTGGTTTTCTTTTTTTTTCCTTATCCATGTTATATGTTTTCTGTGAAAACGTACACTGCTATCTGCATTAAGAAATAACGTGACGATGGTAACATTTGATTTTTTGAATGGCAAAACCTGTGTCGCTGTCGTGAAACACTTAACGGTTTCCCTTTGCTAACTGTGTGTTCACACCGCCGCCGTCGAGAGCGTCAAAGTGGCCGGAAGTCATTCATTTTCAGTCTGAGCCAGCGGCGTGGCGTGACTCGGACGTTGAGAGCGTCGAGGAGAGTTGAAATCAGGTCAACTTTATGGTAATGAGCTATGACGCGGTTCGGTGGCAACCAATCGGAACGTAGAAGTCCACCGCTTCAGAGGATTCCAGAGAACGCAGCCCTGTAAACTTTGGTTCCGACCACATTAGTTCCCAAGTAAAATGGAGGAGAGGTTGATTATTGCTGTGGCGGGTTTCCCAATAATATACGACGTGTCCCTGTTTGCGTACAGGGACATAAATAAAAAAAATGATCCATGGACCAAGATGTCTGAGATTGTTTTTGTTCCTGGTGAGTTGCTGATGTGCTTTAACGTTATATATTTTCTGAAAAAAAGCGGGAATTTCATGCTAACTTCAGCGCCAGAGCATGCATAAAAAAGTGTTACTGCTGCAAAATATTTCTGACATGTCGACACATATTGGATTAAACGAAAAATAGGTGTTGTAGAGAGCTGCTGCAAATTTGTTTCACATCTGATGGAGACCAGAGGTGTATGTCACATATTTTAAAATGAAAGCAGTAACTTCTGTCTATTTTTAATTTTTTTTTCTACAAGGAAAAACAAGTGTTCTTTAACTGGTCTCCCCTGTGGTATTGTCAACAAATTGCTTAGCTGGAAAAAATAATGATAAATGTCATTAGGTTTAAATATATATACAGTCAGTGGGACATACAGCTATGCCATTTCAGACATAGCATGCAAACAAGCTATTCTGAATTGTGGGTAATGAGATGATTATATTGAATATGTGTTTTCTATTGTCTTTTCACTAGCGGATGAGTGCAGAAAAAGGTGGAAGTCTCTTAGAGACACCTACAGAAGAGAGAGAAGGAAGGAGTCAGAGAGGAATAGGAGTGGAGCAGGGGCGAGCAGTGTCCGGCCATGGCGCTACAGTGGAGTCATGGGCTTCCTCAACCCCTTCATAGAAGATAGAATAACTGCCAGTAATATGGTAGGTGGGGTTGGGGAAGCCCTGACCCCAGAGGAAAGAGAAGATGCCATGGCCGGGCACAGTCAGGCAGCACAGACAACACACAGTCAGCAGTGTGAGGTGAACCAGCTAGGTGAGAGCCTGAGCCTTCAGGTTCAGGAAGTACCAACAAGCCCGAGTCAGTCCAGCATTCACGTTCAGGCAGGACCATCAAGCCCGAGCCAGTCCAGCGTTCAGGGAGAGACAGGGCACTCAAACAGGAGAAAGAGAGCACACACCAGCACAGAGTTTGAGGAGAGGATGCTAACAGCTTTGTAGGCTGTGAGTAGGAGAGCTAGCACTCCTCAGGAGGACAGTGACAGTTTATTTTTTAAAAGCCTCCTGGAGGACTTCAGGACACTGTCATTGAGGACCAGGCAGGGTTTAAAGTTCCAAATTCACAAGCTCGTGTATGAAGCAAAATGTCTGGAGGCTGAACTCACTGAACACTGGGGAGAGAGTAACGGGGGGCAGCTGACAAGTCTGTGAGGGGTGTTGGTAAGCTTATTTCCCTCGCAGTCTTGTTAGCTGCACCTTGTACTTTCTCCCTCACACACAATAAGCCCCTTTTATGAAAGTATTTGTTCCAACAGTGTTAAAAAAGGTTCAGTATAAAAGTATTTGCTCTAACAATGTTCTAAACTGTTCAGTATAAAAGTATTTGCTCCAACAGTGTTAAAAAATGTTCAGTATAAAAGTATTTGCTCTAACAATGTTCTAAACTGTTCAGTATAAAAGTATTTGCCCCAACAGTGTTCTAAACTGTTCTGCATAAAAGTATTTGCTCCAAAAAAAAATCTAACATTTGAATGAACACAACTTTTATTTTGAAGAATATTTTATTATTTTTAAGTTAATGTCCCGGCAATAAAATATTGTCAACATTTCTGGTTATATGTGTTTTATATTACAAATTGATCATATTCTACCATATCATATTGAAAACGTGTAGGGGACCCAGGTGAAAAAAAAACATACTTCCATAATGTACTTAAAGTGCTCTATTTTCACACACTGATTTTGTACTTAATATAGAAAAAAATTCTTCTTTAGTAGTTCTTAAGATAATCTAAGTGTACTCAACTGTGCTATAATGAGACACCATGAATATGAACTAAAATTAGCTTTTAACGTACTATCTCTGTATTAAAAAATATATTTAGTTACGACTTTGTATGAAAGTGTCAAGTGGTACCTAAATACATTTTATAAATAAATTTTTAGCACATTTTAGTTCATATTCATGGTGTCTCACAAATAGCACAGAGTACACTTAAATGTTCTTAAGATTAATTTGTAGTATATTAAGTACAAAATTAGTGCGTGAAAATAGAGCACTTTAAGCACATTATGGAAGTGTACTTTGTCACACTTGATATTATATTTATGGATATAATGCTTATTTTTTTATTAATTTGTGGCTCATAAAAGAGCTGTTAAAAGCAATGGCTTATGCCACAGGTTGCCAGGGGACAGCTCCCTCTGTGGAGAAATGGGTCATAAATTTCTCCCGGACACGGATGGGCTCCCGTGTGGGGTTGTTACTGCCCACTCGGGTGACCTCCTGTAGGCTAGCAGCTTATCCGTCTCCAGCTGATGGTATGGGCATCCTGGTGCTGTTTGTGAACCTCCTCAGGAAGTTGTGCAGGACACAGGTAGCCTTCACACAGGCATCTATGTTGGCAGGGCTGATCTCAATGACTCCTCTGTACATACGCCACTGAGCTGTGAGAATACCAAAGGTATTCTCAACAATTAGCCTTGCCCGTGACAGCCTGTAATTGAAAATTCTTTGCCTGCCGGAGAGATTGTGTCCTGGGAAAGGCCGCATGAGGTCTCGGCGGAGTGGAAAGGCTTCATCAGCCACAAACACATGTCCCTGCATCCTGTGGCAAGCCAAGTGTCCCGTCTCGGAGTGCCTGGCCGAAGGTGGAGTTAGCCAGCGCACCGCCATCGCTTGTCCTCCCGTAGCTGCCCACATCCACTACCCGGAAGCAGTACTGGGCATCTACCACTGCCAGGAGCACAACCGAGTAAGTCCCCTTGTAGTTGAAGAACAGGGACCCAGAGTTGTCAGGGGCCCTAATCACAACATGTTTTCCATCGATGGACCCAAGGCTGTTGGGGAAGTTCCACCGATGGAGGAAGTCAGTGGCGATGCTTTGCCAGTCCTTAGTGGTGGGGACTGGCATGACCTCCTGCACCAAGGCATCCCATATTGTCCTGACGACCTCTCCAACAATCCCTGTCATGGTGCTCACTCCCACACAATAGCTGAAAGCTATGGTGCGGTAGGAGTCTCCAGTGGCCAAGAATCTGCAAAAACAACAACTAATTACTTAGGCAAAACGATCAAACAAAAAACCTGTGGTGAACAGAAGTACATTTATTGAAGTATTGAAGCCTACTTGCGTACAAATTTGAGGTACTTTACTTGAGTAATTTTTTTCATGCCCTTTCTCTATCCTACTTCTACTCAACTGCATTTTCAGAGGGAAATATAGAACTTTTTACTTAACTTACTTTTTTCCACCTCAACAAACTTCCTCAACCAACTCCAACATTAAAAGCCTGCTTTTACAATAATGAATTAGTAATAATAATCTAATGATATAATAGTATAATAGTCCCAGTTCACTTTTACACCTTTAAATAAATTTTCCTGATTATACTTACATTAAGTAATGTTTATACCTGATTATACTTAAGTAACATTTTCAATGCAGGACTTTTACTTGTATCACAGTATTTTTACAGTGTGGTATTAGTGCTTTATACATTATTAAGTAAAGGATCTTAATACTTTGTCCACAACTGCAAAAAATACAGCATTAGACTATATTACCAACTGATAAATAGCCATGAAACAACCTATGAAACGAATTTCCAACCCATAGAAATTACAAAACAAAATTTAAACTCATAAAGAGATAGAGAAAAAAAATCATGAACTCACCTTAGACAAATTGCGAGGTGCTCAGCCGGCTCAATAGCGTGCCGATAATTGGTGTCCTGCCTCGCAATTTGTGGCCCCACTTTTGACAGCAGGTTGTCAAACTGGTCCCTATCCAGCCTGAAGTATCGCTGGAACCTGCTGTCATCCAGCCGCAGCTCCTGCACCAGCCGGTGATACTCCCCAAGCTGCTGACGGGCTTGGAGAATCTCACACCGATCCCACACCGATCTCCGACGTCTTCTCCGCAGGCAGAGCAATGCCACCCCAAACGCAACAACTTGATCCTCCATCGTGATGTGAATTTGATAAGAAGGCGCGCAACACTACTTTATAGGCAACATTTTCCCGCTAAAACGCTTGTTTTACAGCGGGAATGCAATTAATTTGCTCAAAATAACACCGATTTGACCAATTGCATTAAAGCTACAATTCAACCAGGAGAGTTTGTAATGTAGGTTGCACACAAATTAATGTTAATGTTAATTAAAGACCAAGGCTAGTAACTGTCTCCTATAATGTTGAAATTAGACTAGCACTTAACCATGAACACAAAAGCCACACCACACAAATGGATTTTAATTGGTTTATTTCGTTAGCAAACATGTAACTACAATAAAGTTCTTTCCACCGATCAATTTCTTACTTTCACATTTAAAATATTTAATGAGGTTAACTTATAACGTTACCCTCCTTGTGGTCAGTCTGCACAAGATCAACAAGCTTGTTTGCTTTGCTGCACCTTTAAATACAAGATAAGCAATCGATCTACGTCAGAGCGTCCACAAATCTTTCTACAGCGTTGTTGGCAGGGCGGCCAGAGCGATATTTGACGCTATCAACGGCGGCGGTGTGAACGCACAGTAAGGGAAGTGTTTAAGGGATTATATGCAACAACCTTAAAGGGATAGTTCACCCAAAAATGAAAATTTGATGTTTATCTGCTTACCCCCAGGGCATCCAAGATGTAGGTGACTTTGTTTCTTCAGTAGAACACATTTGATGATTTTTAAATCCAACCGTTGGAGTCCATCAGTCTTATAATGCATGTCACTTACTTTTTTCCACCTCAACAAACTTCCTCAACCAACTCCAACATTAAAAGCCTGCTTTTACAATAATGAATTAGTAATAATAATCTAATGATATAATAGTATAATAGTCCCAGTTCACTTTTACACCTTTAAATAAATTTTCCTGATTATACTTACATTAAGTAATGTTTATACCTGATTATACTTAAGTAACATTTTCAATGCAGGACTTTTACTTGTATCACAGTATTTTTACAGTGTGGTATTAGTGCTTTATACATTATTAAGTAAAGGATCTTAATACTTTGTCCACAACTGCAAAAAATACAGCATTAGACTATATTACCAACTGATAAATAGCCATGAAACAACCTATGAAACGAATTTCCAACCCATAGAAATTACAAAACAAAATTTAAACTCATAAAGACATAGAGAGAAAAAAATCATGAGCTCACCTTAGACAAATTGCGAGGTGCTCAGCCGGCTCAATAGCGTGCCGATAATTGGTGTCCTGCCTCGCAATTTGTGGCCCCACTTTTGACAGCAGGTTGTCAAACTGGTCCCTATCCAGCCTGAAGTATCGCTGGAACCTGCTGTCATCCAGCCGCAGCTCCTGCACCAGCCGGTGATACTCCCCAAGCTGCTGACGGGCTTGGAGAATCTCACACCGATCCCACACCGATCTCCGACGTCTTCTCCGCAGGCAGAGCAATGCCACCCCAAACGCAACAACTTGATCCTCCATCGTGATGTGAATTTGATAAGAAGGCGCGCAACACTACTTTATAGGCAACATTTTCCCGCTAAAACGCTTGTTTTACAGCGGGAATGCAATTAATTTGCTCAAAATAACACCGATTTGACCAATTGCATTAAAGCTACAATTCAACCAGGAGAGTTTGTAATGTAGGTTGCACACAAATTAATGTTAATGTTAATTAAAGACCAAGGCTAGTAACTGTCTCCTATAATGTTGAAATTAGACTAGCACTTAACCATGAACACAAAAGCCACACCACACAAATGGATTTTAATTGGTTTATTTCGTTAGCAAACATGTAACTACAATAAAGTTCTTTCCACCGATCAATTTCTTACTTTCACATTTAAAATATTTAATGAGGTTAACTTATAACGTTACCCTCCTTGTGGTCAGTCTGCACAAGATCAACAAGCTTGTTTGCTTTGCTGCACCTTTAAATACAAGATAAGCAATCGATCTACGTCAGAGCGTCCACAAATCTTTCTACAGCGTTGTTGGCAGGGCGGCCAGAGCGATATTTGACGCT